AGGTGTGACAGAGGTTAAGGACTGGCATAGTCAAGGCCACTGAGGAGAAGAAGCTTAATTGACAAACCTTTGAAGGTTTCTGTAGCAGGAAGTTACATGATGAGAGGAGTGACTTAATCAGACTACAGTGGAGTTAAGAAGTTTCTCTAGACTCCTACTTACCTCATTGGCTTGGGGGGTGAGGAGGGAAGAGTAAAAAAATGACTAACAGACTGGAAAAATTATTTCTTTTTTCATTTCTTAAGGACAACAACAACAAAAATCTTGCCAGGCTCCAGTAGCTTATACCTCTAAATCATAACTACTCAGGAGGCTGAGATTTAAAAATATTACAGTTCAAAGCCAGCCCAGGCAGCAAAGTCTATATAAGACTTTTATCTCCAATTAACTACCAGAAAGCCAGAAGTAGAGCTTCCGGCTCAAGTGGTAGAACAATACCCTTGACCCTTGAGCAAGAAAAGCTCAGAGACAACACCCAGGTCCTGAGTTCAAGTCCCAGTATTGGTACAAAATAATGAAAGAAAATATTAATCCTAATATTTGAAGTATTTAACAAAATGTTCTCTGATTTTCAAAAACAAAATTCTGATGACCAGATCCTCTTTTCTGTCCATTTTGAAATTTCTAGAAAGCTAGACAAGTTCCTATCATATACAGATTTCAAGGCTAATAAAGACATGACAGTGTATTTTGGCATTGATGTCAAAGTTTTAAAGATACAGACTTGAAAATCACCACACCTACTCTTGAGTTCCACACTCCTTACTGTCAGTTTGCTCATCTGGTTCTTTAGTGTGCTTATCGACTCATTTGCCTTCATCTGACTGTGCAGCTGATTCTCTTTGTCTCTTTTTTGGTATGTTTTCTCTACACACACCCCAGAACATCTGTGCAACTTCTGCTCCTAGATCTGGATCTGGTCTCTCTGTTCTCCCTCCCGCCAGTTTTTCCCTCCTCCTCCTTCATTCTGTAGCCATATGCTATGGTCTGGATGAGGGTGGGGTAGGGATGGGGGGGGGTTGTTTGTTTTTGTTTTCTTTTTTGTCCGTTGTGGGGCTTGAACTCTGGGCTTGGGTGCTGTCCCTGCGCTCTTCAGCTCAAGGCAAGTGCTCTACCGCTTGAGCCACAGCGCCACTTCCAGTTTTCTAGTGGTTTTTATTGGAGATAATAGTCTCACGGACTTTCCAGACCGGGCTGGCTTTGAACCGTGATCCTCAGATCTCAGCCTCCTGAGTAGCTAGGATTACAGGCGTGAGCCACCAGCACCAGCCTGGTGTTCTGTTTTTTGTTGGTCCTGGGGCTTGAACTCAGGGCCTGTGTGCTGTCCCTGAGCTTCTTTTGTTCAGGCCTAGCACTCCCACTTGAGCCACAACGCCACTGCCAGCTTTTTTCTGAGTAGTTTATTGGAGACAAGAGTCTCACAGACATTCCTGCCCAGATTGGCTTGGAACCATGATTCTCAGATCTGGCTACTCAGATCCTGAGTAGCTAGGATTACAGGCATGAACTACCAGCACCCAGCTTGGTCTGGGCGTTTCTGTACCTTCAGAATGTTTGTGTTAGATCATAACCTCAAGGTGATGGGATGAAGAATCCTCAAGAATAAGAACAGAGCCCCTTGCCCCTCCTACCAAGTGTTGTCTATGAGCCAAATAGGCCAGACACACATTCACTTTATGCTATTTTATTACAGAAGCCCAAAAGGACTAAGGCACTACAGTAACTTATTTGATATGATTATTGAATATAAGGTTTTTCTGAATATAAGTTTTTAATTCCTGCTTATGTTTTAGTAACATCATTTTTACTTCTGACTTTAACAAACGCTTCTCTTTTTTTTCCTTTTTTGGAAGCACTAGGGATTTAAGTCAGGGCCTCATGCTTGCAAAGCAGTAAACTGCTGCTTGAATTATACGTCCAGTCCCTTTTTGCAAGGAGTATTTTCACAAAAGGGTCTCATTTTATGCCTGGGCTGCAATCATCCTACTGTTCTTCCCCATATCACTGGAGATGACAGGCATGCACTTTTTGTGACCAGCCGCTGACTAATACGGAGTCTTCTTATGCATTTCTTTTTTTCTGTCCAGTCCTGGAACTTGAAGTCAAGGCCTAGGCACTATCCCTGAGCTTATTTGTTGCTCAAGGCTAGCACTCTACCACTTGAGTCAGAGCTCCACTTCCAGCTTTTTTTTTTTTCTGGGGGGGGGGGGAGGGCCCCTGGTGTATAGTTTATTGGCGATAAGAGTCTCATGAACTCTCCTGCCCATGCTGGCTTCCAACTGCAATCCTCAGATTTCAGCCTCCTGAGTAGCTAGGATCTTAGGCTTGAGCCACTGGCATCCGGCTGATGCATTTCTTTCTGCTCCAACCATGATCCCATGATGTCTACCTCCCAAATAGCTAAGATTAGAGATTTGAGGAACCATCCCAGCTAATAATTGCTTCTTGAATTAATCTGAATTGTGTGAAGCCTGACTGACTCCATGGATCAGTACCAAGATTAGGTGCTCCTTGCCACAAAATAGTAACTTTTGCTAAGATTTTTGGATTTAAAGAGTCATTTCTTAATTAGCATAAAATTAACCTATGGCTTCATTAACCTAATTAAAAATGGCGGTAAACTTCTGGGATTTACATGTCTTGTATACTCTCATAATAAAATTCAATTTTTTTTCTTGATTGTGCTGAGGTCTGAACTCAACCTAATATTTAATAGGCAGGTGCTCTACCAGTTGAGCCATGCCCCAGCCCTTTTTGTTGTAATTTCTTATATATGTCTCATGTTTTTTGTTGTTGTTGTTGGTCGTGGGGCTTGAACTCTGGGCCTGGGCGCTGTACCTGTCTTCTTCAGCTCAAGGTGAGTGCTCTACCGCTTGAGCCACAGCGCCACTTCCGGTTTTCTAGTGATTTATTGGAGATAAGAGACTCACGCACTTTCCTGCCTGGGCTGGCTTTGACTTGAGATGCTCAGATCTCAGCCTCCTGAGTAGCTAGGATTACAGGCGTGAGCCACCGGTGCCCGGCTTGTCTCATGCTTTTTGACCAGACTGGCCTAAGATCCCAATCTTCTACCCAAGTCTTCCATATAGCTTAGATTACAGGCTTGTACCAACATTTCAAGCTGTCTCACAAACCTTTTCCAGAAGCTGGCCTCAAACCATGATCCTCCCAATCTCTGCCTCCTGTAGGCATGTATCACCATGATCAACCATAAAAATTCCAATTTCTTTAGATAATTTTCCATTAAATGTACATAATATCCAATTTAACAATATCTTATAAACATGTCATGAATTATAACTTTGCCTTGACATAGTTAGAGGGATTAAATATTTTTATTTGGGGGGGATCGACTGTGAGGCTTAAACTCGGGGCCTGAGTTCTGTCCCTGAGCTCTTTTGCTCAAAACTAGCATTCTACTATCACTTTGAGCCACAGCTCTACTTCTGGTTTTTGAGTGGTTAATTACTGTAGCTAGGAGTCTCACAGGGACTTTTCTGCCCCAACTGGCTTCCAACCACACTCTTCAGATCTTAGCCTTCTAAGTAGTTAGAAGTACAGACATGAGGTACTAGCGCCCAACTGATTTTTATTATTTTTAAGTAGTTGTACAGAGGAACTGACATTCAACAAAGCAGTTTACAAAAACAGTGAGTCTTAATGAATGTCACCCTTTGAACATTCTCATCCATCCCTTGAACACAGCTACAGTTCTGTCACTAATTCGCACACTTGTCACTAGTATACGATATAACTAATAGCATTTCACAAGTGTATGAAGTCACACATATTTTTTTCTTCTCTGTAGAGAGAAAAGCAGAGAAATTAATCCATTCAGACCAAATGCCCAACCAAATAGAAGGAATTAGAAATGAACTCATTATCCTCAAGGTTTTTATCCTTCTTGGGTTCCCTTGGTATTATTTTTTTTACTATACTAACTTATGACTACAAATATAGAGAATGATTTCCATTTTGACTTGAGGTACATTTAAACAGTTCTTTTCTTGTTGTAAGGTTCTTCATTAAAAGATTTTAAGAGTGCTGGGGATGTGGCTTAGTGGTAGAGTGTTTGCCTAGCATGCATGAAGCCCTGGGTTCATGCATGGAAGTGGCACTGTGGCTCAAGTGATAGAGTGCTAGCCTTGAGCAAAAGCAGCTCAGGAACAGTGCCCGGTCCTGAGTTCAAGCCCCAGGACTGGAAAAAAATATTTTAAGAAAGGTTCCTTGAGGATGAGCGGAGGAGAAACTGGGAGAGGGAGGGAAGGAGTGACAATATCCATAAAGAAATGTACTCTTTACCTGAGTTATGTAACGATAACCCTTCTAGAAATCACCTTTAAAATAACAATTGGGGGCTGGGAAGGTGGCTCAGTGGTAGAGTGCTTGCCTTGCATGCATGAGGCCCTGGGTTCGATTCCTCAGCACCACATAAGAAAAAAGCCGGAAGTGGCGCTGTGGCTCAAGTGGTAGAGTGCTAGCCTTGAGCTGAAGAGCTGAAGGACAGTGCCCAGGCCCAGAGTTCAGGCCCCACAACTGGACCCAAAAAATAAATAAAATAAAATAACAATTGAAAAAATCTAATTTTAAAAAAGAGAGGTTCCTAAATATTCATAAAGAGAAAACAAATGCTGTAGTCCAAAGGTCTACATGGCTTTGATGCTATACAATAGTGAAAGGTTAGCCTTAAAGTCATCTAGAAAGCTTCTAATCACATTAAAAAACTTAGATGAAATCCACTGGAAAGAGAACAACTTTAGTGAGTTCCTATAACTTAACCAAGCATTATGTCTCAGGAGCTGTGATTATTCAGAATGTCACACAGAGCTTAAATGTGTGACACACCCACAACATCACTGCTGACCAGTCTTTGAAAAGGACTCAAACTGAGAAATCTGTTTTAGCACTGGCTCTAGGTTGAGTACCTAAGTAGAGCGTATGAGAGAATAGTGATGAGAGATGGGTATTCTGAACAGGAAGTGAACATATATGGTACTGGCCTGTCATACGCAGCAATCATGAAGTTGAGGAGGAGACTGATGGACTGCTCCACGCTGATTTGGTGAGTAGAAGGAAGGCGCTTGTTCAACTGATAGTAGATGGAGGAGATGACCGTTTCGAGGCGGGACACACTGATCTCAGTGCTATGGTCCAGTGTATTAAGGCCATTGTCTCGGAAGGCTTCAATCATGTTCCAGATATCAACAAGATGAACTATGGCATAAAGAAAATAAGCCATTTTAAAGTTTCAGCCAGCTTAAAGTATGGGGCACAACTGAACACCTAAATTTACCAATGGGTAAATAAGTTTAAAGTAAAGACTAGCACTCACAAGGCCTTGGGTTCAATCTTCAGCACTGTAAAATGGATGAATAGACAGACAAGACAGACAAGACAGACAGGTAGACAGCTGGGTGTGGCAGATCACATTTGTAATTTTAAACAAAGTAATGGTCACTGTTCCAATGACCAACAACTAAAATTTTAAAACAATGCATTTTTTGCTTTATATTACTAATACCACTAGCATAGTTCAGGCTCCCAGCCACTCCATACATAGACCACTGTCTCCCAAAAATTAGGGGAAGTTTATAAACAAGGGTTGCCTTGATTTTCAAACATTTTGGCCACAACCCACAGAAATATATTGAAATCATCACACACACACACATACATACTCGACTACATTTGTGTACATATATGTACATGCATGTGTTACACACATGTATATGTGTGCATATATGTAGCTATAATGAAGTTCCACAAAAACACTTTTGTTAACCACATACGCTCCATTTTGATACTTTCTTCTCTTGTGTTACATGCTTTAAATTATGGCTACAGCCTACCTAAATGGTTTTATGAAACATTAATGGATCATAATGCATAATTTGAAAAATAATGCTTTAGGAAATCATGAAGAAAGACATAACTTCGACCTAGAGTGACATGATAATCTCTTTGGAGAGAAATGTAAGGTAGAAAACTTTAAGACTTAAAAGTCTAACAGGAGTTATCAGATGTAAAAGTATGCTCACATCACTTGTTTATAATAAATATCAAAGCTAAGTCTCAAAGTAAAGTCTTTCAATTCTGTGTGTGCATGCATGTGCATATAAACAGTACTCAGACTTGAACTAAGGGCCTAGGGACTATCCCTAAGCTTTTTCCGCTCAAGGCTGGTGCTGCTCCATCACCTGAGCCAAAGTTGCACTTCTGGCTTTTTTTTTGCCAATCATGGGCCCCAAACACAGGGACTATATGCTGTTCCTGAGCTTGTTTGCTCTATCACTTGAGCCTGGCTCAACTTCCACCTTTTTTGTGCTTAACTGAAGATAACTGTCTCATGGACTTTCCTGCCAGTACTGGCTTCAAACTGCGATCTTCTCAGATCCCAGACTCCTGAGTAGCTAGGATTACAGGTGTGAGCCAGTGGCACCCAGCCACTTTGAGCTTTTTGATGGTTAACTGGAGATAAAAGCTCACAGACTGTCCTTCCTGGGCTGGCTTTGAACCGCAGTCCTTAGAACTCATTATCCTGAGCAGGTAAGATTACAAGTTAAGCCACCAGTGCCCAGTGGCACTTGTTCAATTCCTTTTTTTTTTTTTTTTTTTTTTTGGGTCCGGTTGTGGGGCCTGAACTCTGGGCCTGGGCGCTGTCCCTCAGCTCTTCAGCTCAAGGCTAGCACTCTACCACTTGAGTCACAGCGCCACTTCTGGCTTTTTTTCTTTTTTTTGCTTATGTGGTGCTGAGGAATCGAACCCAGGGCCTCGAGCATGCAAGGCAAGTGCTCTACCACTGAGCCACCTTCCCAGCCCCGACTTGTTCAATTCCTAAGACAATGTTTTTTCCATAATTTAAAATGGTTTTTCACGATTACATACACACATGAAGAAAGAACAGTATTTGTGTCATAAGCCAGGTTAATCTCCATGGAAGTTAAAAAAAAGGAAGATTACAAATACACAAATATATACTTTATTTTTTAGAATGCACATGATAGCAATTACTTATAGAAAAGGTTCTTTTAGGGCTAGGAAGGTGGCTCAGTGACTGTAGAGTGCTTGCCTTGCATGCATAAGGCCCTGGGTTCAATTCCTCAGCACTACATAAGCAGAAAAAGCCAGAAGTGGTGCTGTGGCTCAAGTGGTAGTGCACTAGCCTTGAGCTGAAAAACCAAGGGACAGTGCCCAGGCCCAAAGTTCACGCCCCATGACCAATCAAAAAAAAAAGGTTCTTCTATATTTATACATTAAACTTAATTTTAAAAAAGTCATTTTTATTTCACTATTATCAAAAATCAACCTTTCTTTTCCTCCAGAAGTTGATAAATTATATTAACTTGGTATAAAACCTTGCATTAAGTGCTAGTGGCTCTTGCCTGTAATCCTAGCTAATCAAAAGGCTGAGATCTGAGGATTGTGGTCCAAAGCCAGCACAGGCTTTCATAAAGTCCATGAGATTTTTATCTCCAATGACACAAGCAGTAGAACAGTAGCCATGAGCAAAAAAGCTCAGGGCCAGCATCCAAGCACTGAGTTCAAGCCCCAGAAGCAGCAAGCAAACACACACACACACACTCACACACACACACACACACACACTCACACACACACACACACACTCCTACATTGCATTCATGTTAACAAGGAGACAAAACCAATAAAAAAAACTTTATTATGCACCTCCAAACTTGTAAATATGGTAGCATAACTTGTAGGGATCTGGAGCTTGTTAAAACCTTTTGAGTGGTACAGGACTAAAATGATGTTCTTCCTATTACAAAGTGATAAATACTTCAGATACTAAAACTTTACTTGAAATCTAACACTATGACTAAAATATACTAAAGTATTTTGCAGTAAAATGTTGTGTTACCTTTATATAACAGCATTAATTCAAAGAAACAAGAAATTACTTACGGTTACATCTTTTTTGTACAAATCGTAATTTGCAGGCTGTTCTGTAAGTTGATAGTCGTATCACATCAAAATTCTGAGCACCTGAAGAAAGGGCAAATAAAAATGTTCAACGGGATTTACCATTCAATTTCTCAATGCTAAGAAGTCTGTCTCCATTACATTACCACAATATTCAACAACCTTCCAATCAAACAAAAACAGAGGCAGGAAAAGTTATGAATTGCCTCTACTGTATGCAAGAATTCTGATAATGATTTTGCCTACATTATCCCCTCTGCCAAACTAAGGAAACTCTGAGGGAAGGAAAACTCTTGTCTTGAGTGAATGAACTTACATGACTAGAAAATGGGAATCGGGTGACTTGGGAACTAGAGTCAAAAAAGCTGAATTCCATCTCAGCTGGGCCACAAACAGAACAGTATTTGGCCAGGCTCTCTAAATTCTCAGCCTCAGTGTCCTGGACTTTTCTCAAAGTGGTCAAAATGATTATTTCCAAAGCTGCTTATATTCTACTAGCACATTATTCCTCCTTAACAAGAACTAAAGCTGGTTTCTGTGCACCTGAGACATTGCAACTGTCTTATAGTTATAATTCAGAAATGATTTATGCAATGGAGTATAGCTTGCCCCTGTTCTCAGTCTTTCAGACTTCCCCAGGTGCCATTTTGTGAGGGAGCTCAGATGACAGATAAAGAAAGGCCATCAGGAAGGTCCTATGCAGAGCCCCAGAGAAGCCCTAAGCTTCTCAGTCTGTCTGAAACATGGGACAAGAAGTCAGCACTAGAAACTAGTCTAAGCAAGTCTACACCCAGAAAATATAAAAGAAAACACATGATTGTCTGTGGTAGGAATACATAGTCACAGCCAACCAGAACAAAGCCTAAAATTACACATTTATAAATCAGACTTTGGTTTCATTTCAGAATACTTATTGAGTGTTAAAAACACATGAAATTAGCAACCTCTGAAATATTATATAAACTCAAAGGTTAGGCAAACTACAACAGGCACAATTTTAGACCCAGCAAAGCCAGGATGACAAGGAGAGGATAAAGCAGTGGGAAAGAAAGCTCCTTTCCCATGTACAACAGCCCACTTTAGCCTTCCTCAGGCTTTTGGGAGCCATAGGGTTTGATGGAGATGACCATGAACCATGGGAGAGAGAGGAACAAGGTGAATGTATTGAGTTGAAAAAGGAATCTAACTGAGGAAGAAGAGAGAGGAAGAGAAGAGACACAGGAGAGGAGAGTGCAGACCTAACAGACTGCTACAGTCTGAATAGGGACTATCCCCTCCAAAGCTCAAGCTGAAATTTAATTCCCACTGTGAGGTATTAACAGGGTGTAAACTTAATCTAACAATGGCGTTTAGACTGAAAAGTGATTATTAGATAAGGTCATCAGCTAGAGCGGTGACTACTGGTAGCTTATAAAAGAGAACAGAAAATACACACAGGGGACGTGGGGGCAGGACAGGGAAACAAGGTGTGGGTCCCGGGGTGGAGGTGAATGGGCTCACCCTCCCGCCCTGCCCCTCTCCAGATAATTATGTGTACCAAGCACAGCAGGAATGCTATGCATTCAAAGTGAACAGAGCTTCATGAACACCGGACAGCACTACGTAAACAGATACATCTACAACCAGAAGAAGTATGCACTCTGCACACTCCATGCTGTGACCAAACTGGGGTGGCCAGCTGCAGAGTCCTAGAACAGCCAGAAGGACCTCCTGGAGCAGAAGTGGGCCGTGGTGGACACTGTGTGCAGACAGGACTATGAGCTGGATGAGGGCTTCACCCTGAAGTGCTGGGTCCAGCCTAAATTATATGTGTCACCCTCCAAAACGGGGTTCCCTAGAGCTAGAACACCATAACCTGCTTGTCTTCCATATGACAGATTTCAATCCAGGCAACACTGAAGTCAGATGACCAGGAGGTGGAGGCTGGGGAGCAGTCCACAGGCCTGATCCACAATGGAGACTGAACCATCCAGATCCTGGTGATGCTGGAAATGACTCCCCAACAGGGAAACGTCTACACCTGTCACGGGGAGCAACCCAGCCTGGACAGTCCTATCATAGTGGAGTGGAAGGCACAGTCTGACTTAGCCCAGAGCAAGACACTGACTGGCGTTGAGGGGGGTTGTGCTAGGGCTCATCTTCCTTACAGTGGGCACTATCATGCGTATGAGGACCAAGAAAGCTCCACAAGCACCTAGGTAAATTGGGTTCTTAGTCTGAACTGAAAAACTAGATGTGCCTCAGATCAAGAATTTTTCTGTGTTTCTTTAGTCGTAGAGGCTGATTTGGGGATGAAACCCCACCTTCCTCAAGAAATATTGCTGCCAAGTAATTGCTTTGAAACTTGATTTTCTACTTTTGCTCTTTGATTCACTCCAATTTCTCTCCTGAGGCCTCTATATTCTCTTCTACTTAGCTCCATAAAGAATAAAACCCTTTTTCTTAAAAAAAGAAGAAAACTCCAGTGTACTTGTCTATTTTCTTATAAGATGCCACAGTCTTATCTGCAAAAAAAAATAAAAGAAAAGAAAAAGAAAGAAAGAAACCAAGGAACACAAAGGAACTTCCCATCTTGTGCCACATGATGCCCTGAGCCACCATAGCACCCTTCCAAGAAGACCATCCCAAAACATGGTATCTGTACCTTGGGCTAGAACCATGATCCCAAATAAGCCTTTCCTCATAACTTTGTTATACTGTGCTGTTTTAAAAGCAGAAATGACTAAGTCTTCATACATTTAACATTTCTGGAATTGCCTGAAAATATGTTTATAGGCATTTCTAAGAAGAAAAAAAAAGTTTCATCCAGGTGCTAGCCTGTAATCCTAGCTACTCAGGAGGCTGAGATCTGAGGATTGTGATTCAAAGCCAGCACAGGCAAGAAAGTCCATGAGATTCTTATCTCCAATTAACCACCAGAAAAACGAAGTGGTCCTGTGGCTCAAGCCACAGAGTGCTCGCCTTGAGCGCAGGGACAGTGCCCAAGCCCAGAGTTCAAAAGAAAAAATAGTTTCAAAAAGTATTAGTTCAAAGAAGTAACATAATAGACATCCTTACTTTTTCTTCGCAGTAGGAATAATAATCCTAGGGATCGGGGATGAAGTCAGAAGTTCTATCAGTTAAAACCAAGACTGGACTAGGAATGCCCAGCATGCTCAAGGCCCTGGATTCAACCCCAGTATCACAGCAAAGGAGGGAGGGAGCAAGGGAGCAAGGGAGCAAGGGAAAGGAGACAGCCTACAAAGACAAAGCTGAGAGATGCTTATCTCCAGTTAGCCAGCAAAAAACCAGAGGTGAAGGTGTGACTCAAGTGGAAGTATTCCAGTCTTGAGCAAAAAAGCCTGAGGGGCCTATAGCTCAAGCCCCAGTGCCAACACAAAAGAAAGACATAAAGACTGATTTCTAGTATACTAGGTATACCAACCAGAAAGAAGCTACCATAACAATATTAATATACAATAAAATAGACACCAAGGAAAAAAAGAGTACTAGTAAAAAGGCTGCCTATACAGGTTGAACACTCCTAATCTAAATTCTGAAGCTTTTTGAGCATCATGATTTAAATGATGTCATTCATAATGTAAATGGCCAGGCAGAGTGTTACATATCTGTAACCCCTGCACTCAGGAAGTGAGAGGATCTGGAGTTATAGATCTCCCTGAGCTACACAGCATTCTAGAAAAAGAGGGAAAATATGAGAAAATTAACACAGAGAGGTTTCTTAACCTATAAAGACCACAAAATCTGCAGCAAATATCATTCTTAGCAATATTAGAAACATTCTCATTAAATACAACGCAAAACAAAAAAGTCTGCCATCCTCCCATCCCTTCAATACAACAGGTGAGGCTCCCTCTAGTGTACTGGGTTTAAAAAAAAGGTAGAGCCAAATTGTCTGTAAAAATGGTGCAGTTACCTACCCAAGGACTATAGACTAGTGGGGAGGATGAAGAAGAATGAATATTGACGAAATAGATTGTTTGCAACTATGAAAACAGAACAAGGAAATTGTTGGGGCTTCTTTGTTTGGGGGGAGGTAGGGGAGAGTGAAAAGGGAGTGAGAATGCACATGAATGTGTGTGGACATTTAGGCAGAGAAACAGAGTAACTTCCTAAGGTTATATAGGCAGTAACAGAAAGAACCAACACCGGGCACTGGTGGCTCATGCCTGTAATCCAAGCTACTCTGGAGGCTGAGATCTGAGGATCACGGTTCAGACCCAGCCAGGGCAGGAAAGTCTGTGAAACTCTTATCTCCAATTAACAACCAGAAAGCCAGAAGTGGTGCTGTGGTTCAAGTGGTAGAGCTGAAGAGCTCAGGGACAGCATCCAGGCCCAAAGTTCAAGACCCATGACAGAGAGAGAGAGAGAGAGAGAGAGAGAGAGACCGACCAAGATCCAAACCAGGCATAGCCTGGACTCAGAGCCACAGTGGTCTGAGGATCAGCTCCAATACTCATTTATGATGTGAACTCAGCTGTACTGTGATTTGATTTCCTTGGGGTTGAGTGAGGTGGAGGAAGTGTCTGGCATAGATGACTAGCAATTAGAGACTCAGAACTACAAAAGTTTTTAAAGATCACCTAGTTATTATGCCAACATGCCTTCTCTACCTTCTCTAGCCTATACTTGACAGGATAACAACTCTGCCACCCATGACTAAGTATGTACAGTTCAGAAGTGTACATTGAGAGATGTAAACATCTCCTGGAAATTTATGCTTTGATTTTCATACTGTGATGCACAGAATTCTAGAAATCTCAAGGATTAACCCAGGCTGGATTCTACCTCCCCTATCCTGCTTCACCCATGCAGTACCAATTTTGTAATACCCTTATGTTGAAGAGTTTAGACCTGTTTTTCCCCGTTAATATCATGGAGCTTGAACTCAGGGCCTATGTGCTATCCCTGAGTTTTTGTGCTCAAGGCTAGCACTCTACCACTTAGCGCCACCGATCCACTTCTGGTCTTCTGGTGGCAAATTGGAGATGAGTCTAATGGACTCGCCTGCCCAGGCTCATTTCAAACTGCAATCCTCACATCTCAGCCTCTTGAGTAGCTAGAATTACAGGCATGAGTCACCAACACTTGGCTTGTTTGGGGTTTTTGGTGTTTTGTTTTGTTAGTCCTGGGGCTTGAACTTAGGTCCTGGGCTCTGTCCCTGAGCTTCTTTTGCTCAAGGCTAGCATTCTACCATGTGAGCCACAGAGCCACTTCTGGCTTTTTCTGTATATGTGGTACTGAGGAATTGAACCCAGGGCTTCTGCATGCAAGGCAAGCAGTCTCCCATTAAGCCACCTTCCCAGCCTTGCTTTTGTTTTATAATACAATAAATGTAAATTTTGGGAGGCACTGAGGTTTGAAGTCAGGGCCTCCCAGCTACCTACTACTTGATCCACACCCTTGGTCCAAGAATGTAAGCTTTAAAAGATTTAAAAGTGGGTCCCACTGTTCATTCTTTTTTTTCCTATCAATATCTCTAGCTACTATCCTAATATTTAGCCCCTCTACCTTAGGAATGAAATCTAGTGAAAGGTAATTTGTATAACGTATTAATTAACTACTTACCACCACCTGCAAGCTCATGGTAACAATGGAGTCATACCAAGAGGTCTAAATTGAATGGCATGTTTTAAAAAAACAAAAATTTTAGCTGGGCACTGGGGCTACTCAGGAGGCTGAGATGTGAGGATAGCTGTTCAAAGCCAGCCCTGGCAGGAAAGTCCATGAGACTCTTAAACCACTAGAAAACCAGAAGTGGCACTGTGTCTCAAGTGATAGAGCGCTCGCCTTGAGCTGAAGAGTGCAGGGACAGGTCCGAAGCCCAGAGTTCAAGCCCCACAACCCACCCAAAAAAAAAAAAAAAATTGCCAGGTGCTAGTGGCTCACACCTATAGTCCTAACTACTTAGGAAGCTGAGATCTGAGGATAGAAAAATCCAGAAGTGGCCCTGTGGCTCAAGTGGTAGAATGCTAGCCTTGACCCAAAAAAGAAACCCAGGGGGCTGGGAAGGTGGCACGGTGGTAGAGTGCTTGCCTTGTATGCATGAGGTCCTGGGTTCGATTCCTCAGCACCACATAAGCAGAAAAAGCTGGAAGTGGTGCTGTGACTCAAGTGATAGAGCACTTGCCTTGAGCTGAATAGCTGAAGGACAGCACCTAGGCCCAGAGTTCAGGCCCCACGACTGACCAAAAAAAAAAAAGAAGAAGAAGAAGAAGAAGCCGCCCAGGTACAGCTCAGAGTTTAAGCCCAGGACCAGCAAAAAAAAAAAAATCTCATTTTAGGTTACATTTCTATCTTATTATCCATGACCCTGCTTAAGGAAGTAATTCAAATCAATCCAATTAAAATACATACTAGGGGCTGGGAAGGTGGCTCAGTGGTGGAGTGCTTGCCTTACATGCATGAGGCCCTGGGTTCGATTCCTCAGAACCACATAAGCAGAAAAAGCCAGAAGTGGGGCTGACGCTCAAGTGGTAGAGTGCTAGCCTTCAGCTGAAGAGCTGAGGGACAGTGCCCAGGCCCAGCTTTCAGGCCCCACGACCAACCAAAAAAATAAATAAATAATAATATAAAATAAAATACATACTATACTTTCAGGTTGTCCTCCAATTCCATGATTCTTTAACTCCTACTCATCCCACTCCAAAGGTTCAAACTGTAAAACTTCTGACTAACGCTATGACTTCATTAAAAACAAACAACAATAAATAAATAAATATGTACAACATAAACATTGGGCCAAAAGGAAGAGGAGCCCAGGAGAACTGCAAACTCACGCATTTCTATAAACAGCTGCCTCTTCTCTGCCATGGTCTTCCGCTTATTCCCACCTTCCTCGATCATCCTGGAGACAAGAAGACACAATCAACCACTGTTTAATCTGAGAAATCAACCAAGTGCCCATTGTTGTAAAACTAACAGGAAAAGAGGTTCAATGTGTACATTTCAAGACAGCATCAAAAAAATGAGGGAGCCTGATAAAGAAAAGATAAATCATTGTCCTTTTATTTGAGAGCCTTTAAAAATATTAAATGATCCAGACTAAATAAGCTTGTGCATGTGTTTATAATGCTAAAAACACAAGGCTGTCTTTATTTCTAATTTGATTATTTTCTTTACAGAGTCCTGGATTCTATCATTATTCTTTTACATAAACATCTTAGCAAATATAATTTCAGAAATTAAAATAAAAAGCTGTAGCTGGACATCAGTGGCTCACACCTGTACTCTTAGCTACTCAGGAAGCTGAGATCTGAGGACTGTGGTTCAAAGACAGCCCAGGCAGATAAATCCCCCAGACAGTATAAACAATTATCCAGAAAAAAAAAAACTGGAACTAAAGGTGTGATCCAAATGGTAGAGCATCAGCTATGATAGAAAAAGCCAAGTGAGAGCATGATGCCCTGTGTTCAAACCCCAGTACCAGCATATACACACCAAAAAAAAAAATTGAGGAAGGCAATTCCAACTTATGAAAAGATGCTAGAAACATGTCAGTCAAGAGGCAAGTGAGGAAGTGGTTATCAAGGCTGTAGATGCTGCTTCTGCATCACCCATCACCCAGATTTCCTTTCCCTAACATGACCTTTACCACCCCCCAGCAGTTCTGAAGGCAGGCTGCTATATTCTTACAGCTGCACTCAGTACCTGCTGATTTGCCTTCAGTTGACTGAACACTCTAACCAAGAAATGCCAGGGAAGTTACTCACTCATGGGAGCAACCGGCAGCAGTGGCAGAGGACTGACTGATGCAATCTCTTGGTGAGAGAGAGCATATACCAACTTACCCACTGACACTACACGCAACTATAAAGTTTAATCAGAACAAAGCTGGAGTAAGCACCAGCAGGTGGACTGAGGAAGAATACTGAATTCAAAGGACCACTGAACAGATGGGAGATTGACCATCTTTTTTTGTACTCCAAGTCCAGAACCTCCAAACTGAACATTATGGGACACACTGCAAATACAGGAGAACCCTTCTACTTTGCTCAGAGAAGAGAAATGAAATAGAGACAGTGGGAAAAATTCCCCAGACTTTCCTCTCTGCTTCTAAATTCTCTCCCACCTACCCAATAAGCAATCTCATAATGAAGGCAACAGAAGTCAAAAATGTGAAGGGAAAAAAAAAAAAGAAACGTGTGCAAAGGTATATAAATAAAACTGGCTTTGTTCACAGATGACATCACTGTCTACACAAAATTTAAAAGAATTCACCAAAAAAAATCTTCAACCGTATAAGCAATTACAGTAAGGTTGCAAGATGCAACACAAAATTCTTTTGCTTTCCTAAATACTACCAATGGATAAGTTGAATTTGAAGCTAAATGCAATGCCAAAATAAAAATAAAACTGCAGTGAGGGAACAGAAGACATTGTATGAAAGGAAATATACTTGTTACCTGACTCATGTAATTGTGATTCCTCTGTACATCACCTTATAATAATAAATTCATTTTTTAAAGTAAAAGTACAATACTATTTGTATTAGCACTGCCAAAAATGAAGTTCTTCTTTGGTAAGAATTTTATTAAGTAGTTTATAAAGAGATTACAATTCTGTAAGTCAGATTAAGAGTACATTGCTTCTTAATCAATGTTGCCTCCATCATTCTCCCCCATTTTTCCTCATCCTATTCCTACCCTCAAATTACATAGTTCAACTTTTACATAGTGTACACTGAATATGATTACTGCACAAAATTGTAATTCTTAGGTATAACTCTAGCTATTTTGTGTACAAGATCAATATAAGAAAAACTATCAGAGGATGGGAAGGTGGCTCAGTGGTAAAGTGCTTGCCTTGCATGCAGGAGGCCCTGGGTTCGATTCCTCAGAACCACATAAGCAGAAAAAGCTGAAAGTGGCATTGTGGCTCAAGTGGTAGAGCACTAGCCTTGAGCTGAAGTACAGCACCCAGGCCCAGAGTTCAGGCCCCACAACTGACAAA